CACACACACACACACACACACACACACACACACACACACACCCACACACACACACACACACAAGCGCGCGCAGACACATACTGCTGTACGTAACATCAACAAAGAGCATCTTCCTTCGTGAACAGTAGCAGCAATGCACCACTGAGATGAAGCAGCAAATCTTACCAGCACGCACGCGCATCACAAATCGCACGCACGCGAGAAAGAGCGAGAAAAAAAACTTCGGGAGTAGGAATCAGGTTTGAGGCGCATGTGAGTTTTCCACCAGGAATGTCAATGCCGCCATGCTGCTCTTAGCTCACAGACGAACAACAGGAAAAGACCAATTAGGTGTCCAGCTCCGCTTTATGGGTGTAGCAGCTCCTTGCGGGGGCAGGATGTGCAGGGCACCACGCAAGCTTCTTCGCACAAACCCACCGATCATTATTATATCCTTTATTGTGAAGAATGGGAGACGCAAAAAAGACGCACTCGCACACCCCCGGGCGCCGTAACCTGGTTTTTTTTCCGGGGAGATTAAATTTCGGGAAGTTCTCGAATCCTCGGCGTTCGATGGTATATGAAACACCTGCGAGAAATTAACTGTATCGATATCGTTCTTAGACTATCAGTGATGATCAGTGCTTTGCTACCCCTAGGTATTTCAGGGGTTAATTATCACTAATTGTGTTAATTAATAATAATAAAATAAATAATTATAATTAAATAATTATTTACTTCTGGTTACATCATAAACCCAGTTATATCGGAGTAAATAATCACTAATTAGAATAATTAATAATAATATAATCCCTAATTATAATTAAAGAATGAGTTACTCCTGGTTGTATCATAAACCGATGCGCATATCTCACTGCGCATCGGTTCATGGTTATAGTTCCCGGTTCTTGACACGCCCACTCGCCGCGTCACAACACGTACTGCATGGTCGCATGCAAAGAAACAAGTCATGCAAGAAATTACATAACCGAAGTTTCTTTATCATCATAACGCTGTTGTTTTCATCAAATCTGACTCACTGCCCTATATATATATATGAGTACACACATGTAATAGGAATCGACAGACACGGTGTCGTATACCCTACTACTCGTGGGTACGGCGTTTTTTCTTCACGCTACTAACACAATAATAATATATCGACCAACAGACCAACACATTTCGTGTTCCGTCTGTGACCGAATACAATTCAAACACTTCAGTATATCTTTGTCAGTGTAGCAACAGCCGCCCACACAAGCCAAACACGCGCGTATTCGTAGCGGGGCACACGCATTTCGTCTATATTAACCAATATGCACACATTTCATCTGGTTATTTGGACACACGCAAACATGTATCGCCAAACGCGTATTCGTATCAGAGTATAAGGAATTTCACCTATATTAAGCAATATAGGCCTACACACGTTTCTTCTAGTTATGTGGACACACGCAAACACATACACGCAATACATCACCAATGGCTAATAATACTTCTTGATATTGCGCTAGGCGCACAATGTAAAACTGAGATGCAATGCGAATGTTGCTTCATTGAAATCCCCCGATATCGCCAGATAATTATGTAAACGTCGCATGCATGGTTATGATCACCGTTGCTTCGTTTGCTTTATAAATTAAATCGACGCGTTTCACCAGCGGTGCGCTAAGATCTACTGCCACTTATCATTAGATTCGCGATATATCACTTATCATATACTTATACATACTTATTCATACTTATATATATATATATATATATATATATATATATATATTATAAACACTTATTACTCACTTATTATTATTCACGTCAATCGGTGAAACCGGGCTAAGTTAATCAAGCTATAACTATATAGTATGCTTGAAGGGCAACGTCATTTAACAACTGAAGGCAATTTGGTCCGACGCGCTTCTTTCCTTCATCTTTTCTCTTCTCTCTCCTCGTCTCTCTCTCTCTCTCTCTCTCGTCTCTGTCTCTTCTCTCTCTCTCTCTCTCTTGCCCATTTCTTCTCTCCATTATATATATATATATATATATATATATATACTATATAATATATATATATAGAGAGAGAAGAGAGAGAGAGTAGGAGAAACAAAAGATTAAGAGAAGAGAGATAGAGAGAGGGAGAGAGAGACAGAGAAGATAGAGAGATAATCGAGAGACAGCGAGAGAGGAGAGAGAGAGAGAGAGAGAGAGTGGAGAGAGAGAGATGAGAGACGAGTGACAACTCTGTGTCAGGCGAAGTTAGTGTACGTATTATATAGTTAGATCCATCCAGAAACGACACACACACAACACAACACACACACACACATGGCAACACATGACAAACACAACAATATCAAACACAGCACCTATCACACATAACCTGTCCGCATTCGCCGCATCTCACGGCGGCCATCACCACCACCGAGTTTCCCACACCACGCATGCAGGAATAAACCGTAAGGAGAGGGCACAAGTAATTTGTTCCACGGATTTCATCACTGACGTATGCGTGCGGTACGTGTGGACACCGATGTTGTGTGTGTTACGGTGACGCAGCAACTGTCTGTGTTTCTACATCACACACACACAAGCACGCAGCACCATCCCTCCGAACAAAAAACACCCTCTGATTGTTGGCCAAAATCCGAGGAACATGAGAGTTGTGTACCGGCTGAACCTTAAGCCGGGGAGGTTCAACCCAAACGACACAAACGAACGCCCCTCCACCGTCCCCCTCCCGCCTCCCTCTCCCTCCCTCTCCCACTCCCCCCCTCACCCTTTCTCACGAGAGAGCGACGGGGGATTCCTTTCGGACAACAGAGAAAGCACAACGCCTTTCTTCGCGGAGCAAACAGAGCTGAGCTGAGCCTGGCATGCCCGAACGACGGACACACCAGCTCTTCGCGTGATCCACCCGCGAAGCCGACACAGACGAACGACATCCGTCCTTAAGCTCTCATGCTTCACGTCGCCCCAACGTTTCTTAATTCGAAATCGAAATCGCGGATCGAGGATTTGAAAAAGTGACAAGTAGATACACAAAGCTACGAAGCCGCTGTCGCTGCGGCGATGAACCTGCAAGAATCAATCAGTAGGTGGGTCATGAGGCAGGTAAATCGACCGCCGACGCATTCGCTGACAGGGCGTGAGAAAGAGATAATAGTGGTAAAGGACGAGATAGTACGCGGAGTTTTCGGAGGAGAGGGGGACTTACAGTTGATTAAATTCTTCAGCACAGTTCATACGCATATACACGCAGACTATGGCCTCAGCCAGCGCGTGCGAGAGAGACAGGAATAGATTACAGGTGAATAGATTCGGTGAACGGCGGCAGACTAACGGTTTGTGTTAAACCAACCCCGATGAGCACAAGAACAGCAACAACAACAGCGGCAACAACAACAACAAACAACAACAACAACAACGAACAACAACACAACAAGTACTGACTACTGCATTACTACTACACTACTACTACTACTACTACTACTAACCTACTACTACTACTATCTATTTCATATAATAATAATAATAATAATAATAATCAATAAATAATACGAGTCCTCTACGGTGAAATCACCGCACCATGTTCACAACCTCTGTATTTTGATTTTGACCCCAGGTTGGGCGGCGCGCCATCAGTTTAAACCTGCTGACCTTTTGTCAGCTGATTATAGCGCGAGCCTCCCGCTGACTCGCCTACATACTAACACCGCATACATACATTCACACACACACCAGCACAGCACACACACACACACCACATTCACACACACACACACACACACATCACACACACACATTCACACACACACATTGGTCACATCATCACGCACATCACACATCACTACACACATACACAACACGCACAACACAGAGGCACGCACGCACATCGCACGCACACATGGCACACACACACATACACGACACACACACAACACACACACCACAGCACAGCACACACACACATCATCAGGTTTAATTGATTTCTAGGCCGTGAATTTTGACAGTGAATTCCACGCTGAGTTACAACCGCGCGTGCCCCGCCCGCGCACACATCTAAGCGCACGCCGCCCGCGCGCGCGCGGACAGCCACAATCGCCACGAAGGTCAGGTCAGGTCAGCTCTGGTCCTAATCGCTCTCCACCCCTCCCTCTTCTCCTCCCCATCCCACTGCTTGCGCGCTCGCCCCTCCGCTCAATCACAAAGGTTTGTGTTTACAGCGACCGCAGTCAAGTCGTTCGGTAGCGATTGCTGTCGTAGTAAGGGGGGGGGCACAAGAATGCCTGATAAGATAGCGCGCGCAATGACCTCTATTTTTTATGGTCGCCATTTACGCTGTTCCGACATCTGATTTTATAGCCGATGGATCATTATCCGTCGATCGTAAATCTTGACTATCGTAAGCGATACAGTGACCCCCGCCGAAATGCAATGCGCACAACGAGAATAATTCACACTCCGGGTCTAGTATTACCTCCCTTATAAAGGCAGCTGCGGTTATTGCTGCGCGGCCGCCATCTAAGTGGATGTTTTAGGAGGAATTTATTTAAGCGCGCACAATGCGGTCGGTTTCGTATTTTATTACGGCGCCTGACCAAATATGCTACTGCGTGCGCGTGCGAGCGTTAGGCAGGTGGAGGATACAGAGCTGCTGAAACCTGGTTCATGCATGACGGCAGACAGACACACAATCTCTAACCACACACCCGATGGCTATCTACGAACATCTTTCTCGTTAGAAATATGATTGCTACATTGTCGTTTCTGTCTTTCTT